ATATATATATATATAAATAAGGCTTACTTCTGTTAGCTAAGAAAGAATGATATCCTATACGAGTTCTATATGGGAATTTTAAGATTAAAACTGCTTAAAAAGTTTACTTTGGGTGGTAATTCAATTTCAGGTTTAGAAAGTAACTTAAGTAGGTAAAACAAGTTATTTGATATTAATAAGCACAATTATTTATCGTTTTAAAATTTATTCCTAACAAACAAGTCAAGAAATCTAATTTTAAAGTTTGATGTGTCAGAAGCTATTCGATATTACATTCTTTTAATTAATGTAAAAATTTCTTTTTCATTACATTCTTTATTATTATTCTTTTAAGTAATGTAAAAATTTCTTTCATTGCATTCATTATAATTACATTCTTTTAAGTAATGTAAAAATTTGTTTACCTTACAATTCACAATTTTGCGACTGTAATTAAATAAAATAATAAAAAATAATGAATATATGTTGAAAGTTATTTGAATAAACAACTTGTTTGCCCCGATGCCCACAAAATTCTTTATGGCATAATAGCAAAATAGCATGATAGCATTTAAAAATTACAGCTGAGTTATAAACGCTTAAACTTTGGCTTTTTTTTCAAGATTTCCATAGGCGAAAAAAAACCTTCGTACAAATCCCTTAAAATAATAATTTTTGGTTTCCTTTTTAAGCATAAACTATTATCCAAATAAATAAATAAAAGTTTAGAGACAGCACAATACTCCACCTTTAGCTATTCATAGAGTAAAAGAAAATATTGAAAGTACAGAATTGAATGAACTTGAGGTTAAATGAAAGATGATTATTTTCATTTGCCACAACCAGTTTCCATTAATCATCGGTCAGCAAACCAAGAAGGAGACAGATGTGTTATTTATAAGCGTCATCTCTAGGTGAGAAACGAACACAAAGCCGCCAAAAAGAGTCACGATATTTTGTTTCACTTTTTTGGCGTCGGGTGCTTTGAAAATATATTTAAATGTAATTATGATGCGATAATTAAAAGTAAATAAAGCTATATTAAAACATTGTAAAAGAGGAACTAAAAGCTGTAAAATGTGTACTTTCTTTAATCAACTCGTGTTTTTCTAGGAATTTTTTTTTATTAAGTATATTGGCGAGAATTAAACAATGAGTAAATGGAAAATATATTTTCAAGGTGGCAGTACAATTCAGAGAATGTTTTTCCAGGAATTTTAAATAAATCATTTTTTATTTTAGTTTCTGCATTGTTTATGAATTGAAAAATATTTTTCGAACATTAAATAAATTCATCAAACATAATTATTTTTCCAAACTTTTTTTTTATTATATTGTCACAGATCTGATATTATGGATGTAGTTACTGATTAACTTAGGAAATAAAATTACTAATTTTTTCTAAAATTTTTATTTTATTATATTGTCACAGATTTGATATTATGGACATAGTTTCTGATTAACTTAGGAAAGAAAATTACTAATTTTTCTAAAATTTTTATTTTATTATATTGTCACAGATTTGATATTACGGATGTAGTTTCTGATTAACTTAGGAAAGAAAATTACTAATTTTTTCTGAAATTATTATTTTATTATACTGTCACAGATTTGATATTATGGATGTAGTTTCTGATTAACTTAGGAAAGAAAATTGGTAATTTTTTCTAAAATTTTTATTTTATTATATTGACACGGATTTGATATTATGGATGTAGTTTCTGATTAACTTTGGAAAGAAAATTGGTATATTATTAGAATATCTTAAGGGTAAAATAATAAAACGTAATTAACGTAACTCTTTAATAATAAAACGTAACTCCTTAAAATAATAAAACGTAATTGCCTGACAATTCTGAGAAAAATGCATTTTAAAATGTATGCCTAATTTACCTTCTAGTTAAATCTTCACTTCCATAATGTTGCAGTGGTTTCAGTGCAGTAGTTCCCAAATGGTTTTCCGAGGAACCCTAGGGTCCCGTAATTTATTTACTATTTGTGTTATTTTTATAAAATTATTGAAGTAAATATGCAGTGAAAAAAGACATAGCAAAACTTGTTTATTGCATCAACATTTCTAGGCGAGGTTTTCAATTTAATATAAAATGACCAAATTCAAGAATAACGAATCATGTTTCTCCGATTACTGTTTTCAAATTTCATAACAGTTCTTTTACGACAACTATAATTCAGCTTATTTTATTCATTTTCAGCTAATTTATGCACCAGAAACAAATTCAGAATTAGACTAAATACCACTCTAGGTCTGCCTATTCCACTTTTCGACATAAAACTTTCAAAATCTTTCGAGATCTTTTTGAATATTAATGAAGCATGTTTTTCAGGAAATCAGCTTCAAAAACGTATTTTATGCAAACAATCCTTTATTAATTGTGATAGATTTCAAATAATTTTGTGTTTTCAATTTTTCCATGATGATTATAATTTTGATTATTATTCACAAAAATATAGACTATAAAATTAATTGTAAGAATCTAGCAATACATAAGCACTATTTATTAATATCATTATTTTTATCATTACTATTTTATTCAAATATTAAATTATTTCTACAAACTAAATAACAAGAAATATCTAATATCGTGAAAAGTGTAATAAATAAAATTAAATTGTATTTAAACTGTTGGTAAACAAAAAAAAAACTTTCACTGCTTACGATTTGAGCATCTAGCATGTGCTTAGGCATACTTATCGCCGCAAGACCTCTGCGCAATTACAGAAATGGAGATTTTAACTAGTATTTGATACATGCTTGAATTTTCAAATTGGTTTTTCTCGAAATTGACTGGTTATTACCTTCTATTATGTTAATGGGTGAACGCTCTTAAAGTAAGGTGCTTAAATAACATCAAAATTGACATTATATACCAAAAAATAACAATTTCAAAAGACAGAAAATAATTTTTTCGAGGAATTTAATAAATAATTACATAATTTCAGTCGTATCTATAAAAGAGCTGTAACTACTTTAATTTAAAAATGCAGGTAAATTTTAATTACAGGTACATTAAGCTAGTCAGCAATGAGGATCAGTATTGTTTCATTAACATTAATTACAGGCAGGGTAGAAATAATCATTAAAGGATATTTAATAAAATATTCAAAAATCGTTAAAATGTATCGTTTTACTTTCATTTAAAATCGTTATAAATTTTAATTGCAGATGCACAAGGCTAATAATTAATAATGCAACGTAAGGTGTAAAGTTTACAATTGCTTTTTACATATCGTTTTATCATTAATATTAATGATATAGCATCAAGAAATAATCGTTTAAGGATATAACTGCATTTTCATCTGAAAATTTTGATTAATTTAAATCATATATGTGAAAGACTAATTAGTATTAATGAAAAAGAGGATGTGATGTTTGGGATTTTTCTAAACACATTGTCTCATTATCAACACTAATCACAGGGTGACAATTGTTAAAGGATTTAATAATGATGAATGATATCATTTTATTTTCATTTAAAAATGCTGATACATTTTGATTGTAGATAAGGATAATCAGTAAGGATGAAAAATCAGGTGTAAAGTTTGCGATTGCTTTTTATATATCTTCTCATTATTAACATTAATTACAGAGTAACAAGAGATAGCTTAGACAAAGTTTAAGACTAAATATTTTTGTATCACAAATACATTTCAAAAGTTTTTATTCTTCTTTGGCGACCTAGTTCCTTGAAAGCTGAAAATGAACATTCCAACAAGATTCTACTTTATCGTACAGGTGCATAGCATTCGAGAATGATGCAAGGCGCATTTTGTATTTTCCTGACTTTCTTATATCACTAGATTATCCACCTTACTCACTAGATTTGAATCCAATAGATATTATCATTCCGTTTATCTTGGAGAGAAGGGTTTGAATTAAACTTCAAATAATTTTGGCATCACAACAAAAATTCTTGAGCAAGGAATAGAATAAAATAACAATTGGCAAATTACGACCTACAGTAGAACATTTTAGGACACATTTATAGCTCTGAATTAAGATGGTCACTTTCAAAGTTTCTAAAAGGCTCACAGATAGTAATGTATTCATGTTTATTTGAAAGTCTGGTTGTAATATTTTAATAATTAAAACTATAGTGCTGTAAGCATGCAAGTTAATCCTACCCCCTCTATATGTGAACAAAAACAGCAAAAACATTAAGAGTATTAATAATAATTATGCTAAGTTGCAATATTAAATGCATTTAATCAATAAATATTATAAAGTAGTTCTAAAAAGAATGTTTTTAAGCTGGAAAAAAAATACTTTATTGCCTATTTAAAATATGATTTAAAATACTATGAACATTAACCGAAAAAACTTAAAATACTGTTAGTATAAAATAACTAAAATAAAAATTAATAAAATAAAATAACTGAAATAATAACTAAAAGAAAATATTACTTAAATGAAAATATTAAATACTATGAATATTAGCAGAAAAAACTTATAAATGCAGCAATTACTTTTAAAATATGCATTACGTACTTACCAATAATTGATTCGTCCACGGTTTGTTTTGTCATTTACTGTTTTAAATACACAAAATTATAAACGTTAAAAATTCTAAAGTTAGCACGAGCGATATTATTTGTTTCTTTATGACGTAACAATTTCAAATGTTATTTTTTACTTCAGTTTAAATAGTGTTAAAACACTTAAAATTCTAGCTTTTTCCTTGTAGTGCCTTTACAACCGTAGAGTAGACTTCTAAAGCCAAATTAGGATTTTTAAGCTGCACAGTTTTCCACTCCTCCGTTTTTTCAATTACCGGGAACTGTTCACTTATATACTTCAATGTATGTGATCTCAGTTGTCCATCATAAAGATTAGAACATTCTAATATCTGAAATGCATTTTCCACCGATAAATTTGAACGCAAATGGTTAACACACAGCTGTTTCAATGTTCGAATCTGATATTTTTCTGCAGCATATAGCAACTCACAAGCCTTGGACACAGTTAAGTCATTCAGATTCAAGTGACCACTGTAAACAAAATCTAGCAAATCACGGAGCACCTGTGGTTCTATGTCTTCAATGACCACAACACCATCTTCGCTTTCTTGCATGGGATTGGTAAACATCGCTTCAAAAACGGGAGATCTTGCGCATAGAACAATCTTATGAGCTTTCAGTACATCAGCACCGGATTTAATAGTGACATCAGTGAAGTATTCCTTTTCAAGAATGGAATGAAAATTTTTCGATAAATCTTCCATTGGATCGTAAGTAATGGAATCATCATTTGCTTGCTGTTGGACACTACTAGATCCTGATTTCCCTACCTCATCTAGGGAAGTGACACTGTCCCCACTTCTGAGGTCAGTTATTATACTTTCCGTGTTATTTTGAGGTATGCATTGTGAGATTTCCGATAGAATCCCTACAGATATTGCCTCCACCGCATTAATTTCCGGTTCAGGAGGTTTGTTAATATCTTGATGATCTTGCGAACTTTCGCCTGTAATATTTTTTACAATTTTACGAAATTCTTTTTGAATGTTTTTACGAATTCTTTTTTCCATTATGTTGATTTTTTTGAGCATATCAGAAAAATGGCAACGTCTACATCATTCAAAGAAGCAGTATGATTTGAAAGCTCTCGAACTTTGAGTTTGTATGTTCTTATCACGTTTTTTTTTTATCTTCTCTTTCTGGGAAAACATTGCATTATCAGCGATAATCACAAGCACTTCCTGCTTGTAATGTTTAAGGAATGAAAAGGCCGATCGAAAGTTAGAAATGAAACTAAAATGTTTATTTTGTTTGAAAATAACTTGACATGTAATGTTCTTACTCTAAATTAAATGCTCACTTTTTGAGTTCATAATATATAAAATAAATTCTTAACGACCAAAATAAAAATGGATGAAAATAGTTTACAGTTATATATGTTCACATCATTGTAATTAACTGTGAAAAATAAGAATAGGTTAATAAAAATTTTTTTAATGATCATATCAACATAAGTTAAAAGTAGTTTACTGTTACTTGATTTATCATCATGATTCAGCGTAAAGAAAAACAGGAGACAAAATTTTTTTTAACAATCGTATTAATGTAAGTTAAGAACTTAGTTCATTCAAAGTTAATTGATTTATCACAATGATTAACTAGTAAAAAATGCAAAGGAGAGGCAAAAGTAAAGTATTGACGACCATATAAATGTAAGTTAAAAGTAAGTTACTATTTAAAACCATAATTAACTGTGAGAAGGATGAGACAGGGGTAAAAATGGTTCTGGTTCATATCATTGACAATCACTTCACCGACTATTCACTATCATTTTTTCGATACAATCACTTCGCCAACGACTCATTTCGCCGATTCGACTATTTCGTTGAACAACAATTTCGCCGACACAATCAATTTAATTTTGATTGATATTTTCTGTCTAACTTTCTTTATTGGTAGCACGATATTTTTTCGCTGATAAACGTTTTGAAATTGTTTGACATTTAACGTGCATTATTATTATTATAACATTATAAATATGTTATTAAGTTACCTACTCGAAAGTTTGAGTATTTCTAGGACTAGGGGCAGTACAGCCATTATTGTTCCAAGTTTGAAATGAAGTAAGTATATGTCAACTTTAATTTTTGTTTTACAAAGTAGCCTAACTTAAGAATTAACTCAAAAGTGTTTAATTTGGAAAAATTTTAGCATTTAAATTTTATTATTTCAATCTCATTTTAATAATAAAATTTTATTTCATTAAAAGCTGAATTATTTTAGTCAGTTGAAAGTATTTTGATATAATTTCTTGTATTTTTTGTAGGTAGAAAATATACTGTCACGTATTATTGAATTATTTTAACAGCTTTATTCAAATTTTCCCTTATTTTAATTTTATTTGAAGTTTAAAGTTTTATGCTTCAAGGGTGTTTTGGAAAAAAATAATCAATAATATTATAAAGTAAGTCCAACTTTATATTTATTTTAGCATACAGAATATCTTAATTGAACTTTAAAAATAGTTTAATATTCCAGAAAAAATAAAAAAATTTCATTAAAAATATTAGCTATTTTATGTATCAATTTATTATGTTCTGCTTGATATTTACTTAAAAATATTACTATAACTTGTGAAAGTTTATTGAATGAAACCCTTCTTTTTTCGTTTCTCAATAAATTTTTTTTAATTATTTGTTAAAATATTTTTTAAACCACTCCTACTTTGCGCATAAAGGGATTAATAAAATAATTTTTCCAATTAAAGATGAGGAAGACAATAAAATTTATTTTTCTTAAATCCTATTAGATTTGATACGAACCTAACAGTGCCTCGTGTTTCTCCACAACTACTGAATACACTTCTATGGATAAGTTTGGCTTTTGAGTCTGCAATGTCTTCCACTCTTCAGTAGTTTTTAGAGCAGAGAAATTCTCACAGACATAGTTTAGGACATCCTTTTTCAATTCTTCATCATATAAGTCAGCAAACTGCAATATTTGAATCGCATTAGGAATTGACAGACAAGATCTAAGGTAGTCGGTGCAAATGTCTTTTAACCCTTTGACTTGATATTTTTCTGCAACGTACAATAAATCACACGCTTTTGTCAGAGTTATATTTTTGACTTGAGCACCGTAGATGAAAGCTAACAAATCATCCAGAACAGAGGCATCAATATCGCTTATGGTCACAACACCTTTCTCACTTTCCTCCATCGGAGTGGTAAACATGGCTTCAAAAACTGGAGATCTGGCTGCAAGAACGAATTTGTGAACTTGCTGGACGTAGTCGCCACATTTAATTGAAACATCAGTGAACGAGTTCTTTTGTAAAGCGGAAAGGAAATCGGAAGACAAGTTGATTGAGGTATCGTATATTGTTTCAATTTCTTTGCTGAAATTAATATTGCTAACTTTATTCGTGATATCCTTTTCATTTTCAGAATCAGCCTCCTGACTTACTTCAGATTGAGATTGATTGAATGTATTTTTAAAATCGCCAGATTTATTTATATTTGTTAATTCCTCAATAGATCGGAAATCATCAGAAAATGCAGAATTATTCTCAGTAGTGGACTTCGATGAGCATTCTTCCGAATTTTCCAGATCATCACCAGGGGATCCCCATTCCTTCAAATCTCCCCAATTTTCTGGAGATCTTCTTTCCTCCAAATCTCCCCAATCTTCTGAAGATCTCCATCCTTCAGAATTTTTCAAATTATCAGAACGTGATCTCCATGAGCTCTCCTCAGTATTTTCCCAATCATCTAGTGAGGGATGATATTTCAATGAACCCTTTCCACAAGTGGGTTCCTCAGAAGTTAAAGAAGTAGGAGAGTTCCAATAATCATGATCCTCATAATCACGATTATTTATATTAGGGCTCCTTCCTTTTTTCTTCCCTCGCCTGTAATATTGCGCGAAACTCATTACAGTGGTATTAAACTGATCTGATTTCTCGTATAAAACATTGAAGTATTTTAAAACTTAACAGTACACCCAATAGCTGTGATATTCCATGTAGAATTAGCTTCCCCGTATTTCAACAGCCTGAGCCTTATTCATTTCGTTTCAGCTGATAACTAAAACTTATCTTATTTTAATCGTAAAAATAAGTTACGTCATTCTAAATGGAGCAAGATAAAAAAAAAGAGTAAGTGGTAAACTTCCTTTCTTATAATCAGTTCATATCGAAGAGGGAAAAAAATAGGATAATTAACTTGTATGTTAAAAGGCCAAATATTAAAAAATATTGTTTTCCGAACAAAAGAATTAAGGTAAGTCGGTAGGTACTTTATTTACTTCGCACTAGAGTTGTACAATGGAACTTTGGCGATGATCTGGGAAACATCCTTGAGGATGATCCAAAGACATGTCATCACAATTTTGATTCTCTGTTGAGGGAATGGCTTCCCTGATTTGGTAGCCGAGTGACTTGCGCACGAAGTCGAGCACTTTACTGTAGAATAGTTTACAGGGAACCGATACCTCACACCCTCGGTCCCTACAAAGACTGATCATTGTTCAATCACCCTCATTTTGACAGCAGCCAGTGATACGTGACTTCGGGGCCCTACTGGGAACCGTGTCTCTACGATCAGTCTTACTATCAGAATCAAGGATTTGAATATAATTTTCTTGATGAAAAATAGCATGGCAGTAAAAATTAATTCGGAATTTCATTTTTGCATTCTTTTATTTCCTACGTCTATTGAGAAGAGTCAAATAATAACTCGTCGCGAGCATTTCTTTGCAGTTCAGTAACAATAAAGTAGTCAGCATCAGAGAAGCGTTTGTCCTGAAAACGGGAACACAACAAGATATGATTAAAATACGTAGAGTTCTCGTTAGAACAGAGGGAACACCTCGACACCAAATAAATAAATAAATAAATAAAATAATACCATATAAAAAGATCATGTAAACGACAGATATTAGACCATGTAATAAGTCTGTATAAGTAATATTTTTAAAATTTGCAACCGGACTATGACTCGAAAGGACTCTAAGAATAGGTTCATACATAAGATTTTTCCCATGGCTTGGGTATTATGCAGATTTTCAACAGCTTATTTGTATATTTTCAAAAAAATTATAGCGAAATCAAAATAGCTTTTATTTCGAAATTAAAGGCAATTTATGTATATATGAGACACGTTTCATAGGCAATTAAAAAGAATGTCTGCTAGTAAAATACTTTTAGATAAGATTTTTTTAAGCCTAGAAAAAAAAAGTTTTCTCAATATTAAATGTTTCGAAGAATAGCTAATCTATCTCTTTTAAGAATCAAAACTTTACGATATAACTTACGTACGTTTCACGTAGTTTTCTCAATTCAATACATATGTGAGAACTGATTTAAGCAAAACTAAATAAATAATTACATTTAAACTATCAAGGAATAACCAATATGAAATGGTTTAATTTGAATATGGTAATGCAAATGTAAAGAAAAAAGTACAAAGCTACTCTTAAAACTATAAGGAAACATTTTTTTTTTAGTTTCAGAGTTTTAAGCTGATACTTCAGTTTCCTTTTTTTTTCTTTTTTAATTTTTATCTGCTTTTGTTTCCTTTGAAATTAAACATAGAAACATTTTAAAATGATGCTGCTTCCATAATAACATGTTACATAAATATAAAAAGGTAAGACTTAATATTAAATTGCACATTAAATGTTCAACGTGGAAAGAGGAAATAACTTGCAAATTTTTTTTTTAAAAAAGAGAAAAACATTCGCAATATTAAAAAAATATGCCATAATTCTGAAACAGGTTTAAGTTGATTTTAATAATGAATATAAGACATGTAAATTTATACTTTTTATAGGATAATAATTTTTCAGGTCTGCTTACTGAAAAGGGTTTTTTTCCCTAATTTTCTAATGATAAACCTACAAATTTGATAATTATAAATTGAATGCATTGACCAAAAAATGATAAATCATCATGTTTTGTTTTCTATGATAAGCATTGCGTATTAAACCAATTACAAATAAAATAATAATAAAAGAAATTTGTACAACTGTAGTTATAGCTCAAAGGAAGTTGGGAATAAATTGTTTTCGTCTTAAAATTGGAATATTGATCTCCGACCCCTGTTTGCAGCAATTTTGCACTGTTTGCTTTGCAAATAATGCTCGCTTCACGCCCTACACGTTAAACCCATTTGAAATGTGTTCTTGAGTTGTCTTAAGAATTTAAATCAGTTATTAAAATCTCTTAAACTAATTACAAAATTTATTTAGCAAATAATGAAATATATATATATATATATATATACACACAAAAATTTGACAAAAA